CTGTCAAAAAAAAAAAAAAAAAAAAAAAGAAAAGGCATGGAATGCTGAGCTACCACAGGGTATCGATGATAGCAGCTGTCTGAGTCCCTCTTGGCCCCTAAGGGTTTGAATATAGGGCACTTAGAGACCTCCCTGGGCCTCCGGGAAGACGGGGCTCACGTTTTGTTCTATAATGATTGTCAGGCAACTCCAGCACCTCAGGGTGATTTGACAAGCACTTCGGGAGGAACAGGAGTTTGGATTCATATGTAGCTTCTTTTCACACTTGGGTTCTCGCTGTGCCCACAAGTGGCTGTGCTGTGTCTCTTACAGGGTTCTGTTGTTTGCTCTGGTGGCTAGAGGAGGACACCTGGCTTCCTACCAGGCCAGTCTAGAATCTGCTGGGTGGCATTCACAGCCTACTTATGTGATGCTACAGAAATTCCCAACAAGCAGGGAAAGTGGCAATGTCTGGTTTTCCAGGGAGGTGCTTTGGGAAACTATGAGGAGAGTTGATGTCTTCATACAATGTTCTGGGGTATCTACTCAGGCAGACTGGCTTACTTTGAACCCTCAGAGTGCCCTCTTAAAGTTTTAGAAGATCATTTAACATGATATAACTTGAATAACTTAGACATTGCTCTTAAGAAGGGTATAGAGGATACAGAGTGTATTAGCCTGCAGTAGTGTGTGGAAGAACTGGATGTCCAGGGCTTTACTGTAGAGTATTCTGTTCCACTATGTCTTTGGGGGTGGGAGGTCAGCTTACTAGCCGAAAACAATAAGGAAGCCTTCAACCTGGGCATGCCCACTCACAGTAGTCTTAATGTCCTTAGAAAAAGGTCCCCAAGCCTTTGCTGATAAGGCCGCTCACACAGCACCTAAGCATGCCATCTCTACAGGCCATCTTTACTCTCGGGCTGACTGTGCTTGGACTTCTCAGAATAGGTCTGCACATCCCTGTAAGGCAGGGAACCCCTGAGAAGGAGACTCAATGAACAATGAAGAAGGCCTTTCTCTTCTGGGAAAGAGAAACACTGCAAAGCCAAAGATGAGAAAGGATGGTAGCCAGCAATCAAAACCAAGTCTGAAGACCACACCTCTTAGCACTGCTGGACCTGGTATGGCAGACGGGAGGGAAACGTTCTGCGACAGGACTATTACTGTCACCCAGCACTCTGGTCGTCTGTGGAACACCTGCATCTTACTGGCTTAACGGATGTTTGGGTACATAGTTCTGAAGTTCAAAAACAGATGGTGGATATTCTTGTTTGAGGCCTCTTACAAGCTTGCTAGCAAGGAAGCTAAACCTGCCATGTTACAGTTTTCTATTAATGAAGTGAAACCCAGAGACATCCCAACAATTTCCTGTAGACCCTACGCTGAGGTGTGCTGTAACTCAGGTTCCCAGTTTCCGGTGCACAGGAGATGGGCTTGACTCCCACCTCTGTAGCTTTGCAGAGAAAGTGGCTACATTCCAAGGCAGTGGGGGACATAAGATAGACAGACAGACAAGTCTACTCAAGCCCTTCAAGAAACTGTTGCAGAAGCCGAAGGGGTGCTCTGTTTGGTACTGTTCAGAAGGAGGTGGGCTCCATGCTGCCAGAGCTTGGGGCTTTTCTGTGGGTCTCACTGATATTCTGACTGCCTGCCCTGTTTTCCCAGACTCCTTTGCTGGATGCCCACTTCCTTACCCGGCTGAACTGTGCTCTGCCTCAGAAGGTCTCTATTTTTCTCTTTCCCTTAAATGTTACTCGTGGAAAGTCAAGAAACGTGGCTACTTTCCCAACTTTCCTGCTGCTTTGTTTCTCTTCATAGAGTGCAGTACAGCAGGGCCCCTCAGCAGGAAACTCCAGAAACCATTTAGTTCCTTACTAGTGGTCAAAGGTGTCATGAGATGATGCACGGTCTCGTTTAGGAAACCTCAGCACAAGTTAGCTTCCACTGCATAAAAAGATTCCTAATGAGACGTGAAGAATCAGTGGCTTCCGCCGAACATGCACTGATAACTAGCGCAAGTGTAAAGAGGCATTGGCTACTCTTTCAGGACCGAGCACGTGGGACCAGTTTTACTGGGTGGGAAGATGGTGAGTGGAACATCTCCTCGCACAGTGTCATCTCTGGATGGGGTGCCAAGCGAGCAGCTCCTGCTGCAGGGAGTGGCACTGGGGTGGGCTCCTTTGCAGCTTTGGGGAGGGCTCCTTTGCAGCTTTGGGGTGGGCTCCTTTGCAGCTTTGGGGCTGCTGATCTGGTCTAGGTTTTATGGGAAGGGTTTGGCACCTGGCAGTTCCCTCGGGCTTCCAGGCTGCACTCTCAGTCCTCTCCACTTTCTCCACCTGCTCCAGGGAACTGGTTCTTTCCTGTTTTGCCTCCCTGCATGCTGCCTGGACAGCTCACTGGCACACCCACTGTGCCCCTGATCTTGGGCACTGTAGAGGGATTAAGAATGTCACAGCAGGGTGTTTTCCTACTGTCCTAGACTCTTCATGCCTGTCAGGATAGAGTGTGATTCTAAGGCTGGCCCTGAATTTAATCTTTGAATCAGCAGAGGACAGTGGGGTGGTTTATGGGGGTAAGGGTACATTTCTCAAACTGACTTAGGGAGATGATATATAGTGGACTATCTGTATTTGAACATGACTTTCAAAGGGACATTTAATGGGAGCTTAAGTCTGTATCAGTGACTCCTTGTGGGGTGATCTTGCTGGCTTTTAAATCAGGGTCTTTTTTCTTGTACAGAAATGAGTGGCATTCTGCATTCTCAGAAAAAGTACACAGTCAGAATTGATATCAAACTAATAAGCCCAGAAAAATATAAAGTAAAAATCTAATTAGAACTGTGATATTTATAGTAAATCAGTTAAAATGAGGTAATACTTTGATAGTAAACTCTCCTGCCAGTTTAATGATGGATCTTCATGTAAAATCTTCGATTCCATCTATTGAAGACAGTGACACACACAGGGAAATGTGTCTCTGCAGCTCTTTCTCAGTGGTGGTGCTTTTTTGTATGAGGGCTCTGATCTCCAAATAGGAAAGTCTGTCTCCCCGTGACAATCACATCTATTGACAAGAGCCATGGCGACTGCCAATGGTGTGACAAATGGAGTGTGCTGACGGGGAGAGGGCTCAGGCGGACAGTCCCTTTCAGATGTCACTCTTGCTTCAAGGACACAGAGCTGTACGACGGCGTACACAGCGTATCAGGATGATGTTCAGGTACACTTGTACAGCAACTGATAATCACAGGGATCAGGAAGTGTGCCCGAGACTCCTCTGACCGTGACACACAACACAGATCTGTGCTGCTGCAGCTGGGGTGCTCACTGCCTCCCCCCCCTCCCCAGTCCTGGCGCGTAGCACATATTGCAACTAAAATGCTTGCTTACCAACAGTCTTGGTAACAGCACTGTGGAGTTGGTCAGTGAAGCTAGCTAACAGAAATAGTGACTAAAAGGGAAACTAATACAATCTCAGCTCTAAGAAATTCTGTTTTCTAAACAACCCTGCCTGCAGCGGATACCATCTGTGAGATACCCACAAATGGTTCCAGGCTGTATGATGTCTGTGAGAAGGTGCCAGCTGTGACTGGGGAACTAACTCTACCGTCCCTGCTGTCTTGGAAAAAGGAGAAAGAATCACGTGGGACATCTCCCTGTGGACCTCGTAGCAGGAAGGGGCTGAAAGAAAGCCTCATAATCCCTTATGGTTTTCCTAAGAAAATGGCTTTGGGAAGAAGGCTTAGGTCACACAGGATACACAAGGACTTGGCAGAGAAATTTTCTCTCTCTGAAAAACAATGAACCACTCACTTCTCATGAAGGCTTCTTGTGATTCAAGGTAGGAAAATGCAGATGGGAAGTCAGACTGCTCAGGTTTGCCAGCCTCCCCTTCATGCCCAGATGGCTGAACTGAAGGAATGCTGAGTGTAGCTATGAGCAGGGCTACAAGTAACTCACGGATAACCCATTAGGGAAATAAAGATGTGTGACCACGTCCAAGTGCGGCCACACCAGCGGGAATTTTGGGTACCACCTGTTTACTATTATTACTTAACGAAACAAATCATAGAATTCTGTGCGTTTCTGCAGCCTCTGTTCCCTAAATCAACTTGCAAATCAGAACTGTATTTATATGTGCACTTTTTGGGTATGGATTAGCCTCCTAAAGTACATAATTCCAATAATTATCAGTGACAGAAGGGATGAATAAATTATGCTTCAAGCATAACAAAATTAACAGTAAGAATGTTTTTGCATAAGCTTTTCTTAATGCATGCGCCTATGTTAAATTTAATATTCTATACGACTGACATGATCCTGAAAGGCTCCCGATGAGTTAATCTTAAACTGTACCTCTGCCTGCTCTGGGACAAAGAATAAAATAGAATTTAAATGCTGCAGATGTCACGATGTTTTGAAAAGCCTTTTTAATTTAAGCAAAGAGTTTTGATGTGAATTGCAAATCCCAACAGCCGAGATGAGTGAAATTATCAATGCCATGTTCTCTTTAAAGCAGAATGCAAGGATTAAGCTTCGGGTCTTGTTCACAGAGTTAGAGCCAAGTCAGTCTCCTTTCCGTGGCCGGGAGTGTAGTTCTGAGAGGCTGTTCTTTCTTTCTCGTGGACAAAAATTGTATTATAGACAGATTCACTTGGAAACCCTGAAAAGGGAACGTCTTATCTCCGAGGGCCGGCAGATGCCTGGAGAGCAGCACAGCACCGAGTCTGAATTCTGGAGTCTGCACTTGGGTTTCCGTGGTGTGTGCCATGACATGGGAGCTAAGCTTGTGTGTGGTGTCTGACCTGCGGGAGTGCGGTGGGTGCCGATGACGGGGCTGCTCTGTGTGGGGCAGTGTACTGCTGTGGGCAGGCTCATACGCCCTTTTCTGTAGTCTGCACGTATGATCATTACATGCGTATAAAATGAGCAAGGAGGGTGGAATGACAGATACGAGCCATTCTTCTCTTTGGAGTCTGGTCTGTGCTCTACACACCCGGGAGGGCGGGACTTGCCGTCGTGAGCTCTTTAATACAGACTCAGTAGTCTCTAAAGCGATGGCGGTCTGGACCCAGGCCTGAGGACTTAGTGAAGGCTTCCGGGCCACATCTTCCCCTGAGTGAGACTATCCCCCAGACACACTGATCCTGAGACAACTGTGGATAGATCATGGGGAAGTTCCCTGCACACAGCTAAGATTCACTTCAACCAAATCTTAGACTGAACTGCCCTACACTTGATACACAGGAGACACCTTTAAAGATGTGTGTGCTTGCATATCCATGAGCTATCAGTAAGATTTCCGGGTACTGCCTTTAGATGAAAAGAGGAGATGGAAGTGTGGGTGCCCTAGGGTTTCTTCATTGACAGTTACTTGATTTCTCGTTCATCTATTTCATTCATAGCTACTGTGCACTTCAGTAGATGTATGTGGATGGGAGCCATGGTTCAGGAACTGGCACAAATGACGGTAATTCCATTCTGGGTTGTCCCCTAGGATGAAGGTACACGATTAAGGTCATGCTGTTCCTTCTGCCGACCTCAGGATCTCTCAGAAAGTCTCCTCTGGACTCCATGAGCTCCTGAGACATGTTCTGGGCTTCGTTAGGGAACTCAGACCACAGATACAGTGTATTGTAAAGGTGCAAGTCTGGAAGGCAAGCAGGCTGTTGTTTTCTTCCCCTGTCGGGCACTGGCTAGCTGCTATTCCCCCAGCCTGCCCTCCTGGTCACACACTTCTTGTCATCCCTGTCCTCTGCAGTGTCCTGCGGGAGCTGCTGCCTCCATTCTGTGTGCTCTCTGGGAATTTTCCAAGCACCATTTTCTGCAGCCTGGACTGAGGAGGTAAAAGACAAAATGGCAGGGGTGTGATGTTCTCCCCGGGCTTGTTCTGACAGGAAAGAAAAGAAAAACCCTAGGAGGTCCAAGTAATTCCCAATATATGATTATATTTATAGATACAATCTCGACTTGGCAGAGGAGAGAGCCAACTGTGGTGGGAACGCGTCCTGCGAGCATGCGCTACCAACGCTGTTGTTTATAGCACCAACTGAGGAGGGCCTGTGGCAGAAGACAGTAGCCCACGGGCTGTGCCTCAAGTAGAAAACCTTGGCGGAGCATGAGTGGTCCTAGGCATGAAAACATAGGCCTTTTATCTTCTCAGTTAGACCTGTGCTTTTCTCTTTACAGTGGCCTCACACGGTAGGGTTCTGTGGTTAGCTAATACGGCCCTGGGTAGGACTGTTTATTTCTTGAATAAATTTGCCTTTAACATATTTTTAAAGTGGAACGGACTTTTAAAAACCCGGTTAATAAAAAACATAACCTTCCAAGATGGCTGCAGTAAGGTGGTGTAAGGTCGGGGTGGCTGAGGACAGAGTCCTGCAGGTGGAGTCTGGCCCTGGCCGGCACTATGTGATTTTCTTCTTGATGGCAGTGAGCTCTTTGTGAAGGTCGCTGAACCGAGGGCGGTTCTCAGGCTTGTAATCCCAACACTTCATCATGATTTTAGAAATCTCCTCTGGACAGTTCTGTGGGGCTGACATCCGGTATCCTGAAGATTCAAGAGAAGAGGAGAGAGCTCAGAAGTGGGAGACACACTCACCCGGGGCATTGTGCTGCTTGTAAATGTTAGTGCCCTGTGCTGGGAGTGGGATACACACTAAAGGTCTCGGTCAGCGTCAGGAAACCCCCAGATGACAGCGTGCACCACTACAGAACCAGGGACGTTCGCGCTGCTCTGAGGATTGGCTTCCAGAAGGATCAGATGTAGAGAGTCTGGAGAAGGGGGTTTATACGCTCATTCGGCAGTGAGCTGAGAAAGAACCATTTCCATCCTTCACAGGCTGCTGCCTGTCAGCACTTGGGTCCTGTGCCAGGAGGTCTGTGTGCAAGGATGGAAGGCAGGCCACCCCCCCACTCGGGCTACCCAGGGCAGGCAGGGGCAGTCATCTGAACAGGACACTCCTCTCGTTGGAAGCTGTGTCCCACACAAGCATGCGCGGAGTATGACTGCCACCTAGTCCCTCTTGCCTCTCTCAGGAGTACCACAGCATCTCTCCAGATCACAGTATCTCTAAATTCCTTCTGGAAACTAGAAGCATTTCCACTTGAAGGGCTACAGGGACTCCTCTGGAATACACCGCCACTCTGAGGTGGTCTGCTGTCTTTCACCTCAGTGGGGCAAAGATACAATGAGGTTCTCTCTTTAAAGAGCTGAGAGCCCTGCAGATGGACCCAATCTTCACACACTGTGATACAGCAGGACTGGTATCCACACAGCTCACACTTAAGAACCATGCAATTATGTTACAAAACAAACGGCAAAAGAAGAGACTGTTTTAAATAAGTTCACGATTGTGTTGGCCACGTTCACAGATGTGTGAAGCTCCACATCACCTATGGCCCACGGGTGGGACGGGCTTACAAGAGTTTGCCTTTCTTCTGTAGGAGCCACAGCATCCATGGTACTGGGAAACAGACTCCTCTGACATTTTCCCTCTTTACCGCACTGTGACTCTTCCCTCCCAATCTGGAGTGCAGACGCACCCCAGGCACCGCTGTCCTGGCGGACGTGACCATGACACACCCAGGCCTCGGCTCACCTCTTTCCACCTGCTCCCGGGCCTGCTGGTTTGTCATTCCAGGGTATGGACAGACTCCTAGGCTGAAGGTCTCCCAGAGGAGGATGCCAAAGCTCCACACGTCACTTTCAGAGCTGTATCTCCCTGAAAGGGAGAAAATGGTCATAACCAGTGAGTCAGTGGGACAAGGTAATGGCTCTGGCTGAGTGTCAGCTACATGCTAGCATGCTGGGTCTCCAAAGGATTGCCAGAACTACATCCCGTTCTGGTACTTTTGTTAATTCCAAGCCTAGTAATGTTAAGAAGTAAATGGAGTCTTCAGGAGGCTAGTTTAATCAAGTGACTATAAAATGACTCTCCCCTCTCCCAATAACAAACATTCAGCCAGCATGCAGGCTTACTTCCCTGTGGTATCTGAAGGAGGCGGTTGGTTTATATATAAGAAAATATAAATTTGCACACATCAGTGCCTAGGAGATTAAATAAGCTGGTTTCCTACGGTCTGGTCTTCTGCCTGCATTGTTTTCTTCCCAGTAAAATTACAAACAAACTCAAAGCAATAAGGAAAGTTTCTGAACTTCGAGTTTTTTACTCATCACTGTTTACAGATATCCTTACATGCTTAAAGGTCTCATTTTCGCCACTGATAAGTTTCATTTGCAGAAAATACGTTTCTCTATGTGGTTTGAATAGAGTGGAAATTAACAGAGCTGGCTGATAAAAACAACTTCTTCAGATTACACGGTGCCTTGTTTTGTCAAGATATCTCGGTGCACCTGTTTTCCTGAGCCACAGGAGCTGAACTCTTAGGGTTTTTTTTTTTTTTTGGTAGCCTTCAGCAGAAGCACAGAGATAAAATCCTACCAAAGATGCCTTCTAGAGATGGATATGAAATCAGGAAGGGGCAGCAGAAACATCCCTCCCAGTCTCCAAGACAATATGCACTTCTGAGACTTGTCCAGCACACGGCATATGCATACTGTCATAACTAAATGCCACCTGCAGAAATGTTAAGGCCTTTTCTTTCTGCTTTTTGAGACAAGGCCACATGTAGCTTAGGCTTGTCATGTAGCCCAGGCTGGCCTTCAACTACCAATCTCCTGCCCCTACCTCTCTGTGCTGGGATTACAGGCATGTGTCACCATGCACAGCTTGAAGGTTCTTTGAATCATAGCATTTTCTATCCATCTGCTATCCCAGGATTTATAAATGCCACTCTGAGAAAATTGTCTTGTTCCTCTAAAAGAGAACGGCCTCTTCCCTTTCTTGAAGAAAGGAAAATGGTCAGAGTTTGCCTGCGATCGGAGGGACTCTCAATCTCAAGCACTCACTGATCATCAGCTCCAGCTGTGGAAATTAGCTTCCCACTACCGAGAAGGTCATTATGGACATTCCCTGTGCTGTTGGGTAGGAAAATTACTTTGTTTCTCTACACAGCAAGTCTTTTCATGAAACTTGTTCAGTGGCTAATGGTTGAGGCTAATTTGTAAAGAAGTTCAGTTCTGTAGACACATCTCTTATGCTGTAAAGCACTGTTTGGTAGAGATCAAGGAAGGTGCTCTGTATGTAAACAGATGACACTTCAGAAAGCCTACAGAACCTACCCGACCTTTGAACCTGATTTTGGAGGATCATTTTGACACCGCAGAGTAAATCAGGGCAGCATTTTGCTGCTCTTTTGCTGAGCTGACCCTCTCAGTACCCTTCTGGAGGAAAGGCACTACAATTTGCATAACCAGAGAGCAGGAGCCATCTTGCACAGGTCCTGTCCCTGACAACATAACATAAGAAAATGTTGTCTCCTTCTCATTCCAGAGGCTCAGGGGTTACAGCACGCTGAGAGGAGTTTCTGCTTAGTTACATTGTGAGCACCATCATCCCTAAACAATCAGGTGGGAAATGGTTAAGTTTTTAAATAATTTTTGAGATTATAATTACAGCATTTCTCCCTTCCGTTCCTCTACCCAAACCCCCTCACAAGCCCCTACAGACTCATGGCTTCTTTTTTTACCTAGTGTTATTGCATGCAGATATATCTATATCTGTGCATATACATCTATGTTCCTAAGTATGTACCTGTTCAGTATATTATTATGTTACGTGTATGTATGTTTTTAGGGCTGACCATTTCACACCGGACAATGAATTGATGTGCTCTTCCTGGGGAGGACCTCCTCTCCCACTCTCTGCTGGGAAAACTTGCAATAACTGATAAATAGGTGACTTTACTTCTTAGTTGGAGATGAGTATAGTACCATTCTTTATAAACCTAGTACTTCCGTGGAACACTGGACTGAAAGTGGAAGGATATAGTGTGATTACGCTATCATTTAGTCGCTGGGGAGTGTTACGGTTTAAGTGTGGGATGTCCCCTCTAGGCTCGTGTGTGATCCATTAGTCCCTGAGTGGCGGTGCTGTTTGGGAAGGTGATGAAGTAATGAAGCCTTGCTGGAGGAAGCAGGTCATCGTGGGCAGGTGTTGATGCTTTAGAGTCTGGCCCTACTTCCTGTTCTTTCTGTTTCCTGATGCAACGTGACTAGCCGGCTGCCTGCTGCCATGTCCTCCCTGACGTGAGAGACTCTGTCCTTCTAGAAATACGAGCCAGAAGGAAACTCCTCCCACCAGTTGCTGGTGTCAGGGTATCTTAGCCGAGCAAGGAGGAAGGCACTGGGCTAGATAATCACAAGTACAGGGCTGAGAAGTGTTCAAGGACAAGATGGGAGCGTGGAAAGGGGGTCAGGGGTGGGTGAGGGGCCCTTAACATTGCCTGATTCTTAAAAATGTTTTCTATTAAGTAACACAGCTTAATCCAACAGACCTAAGCCAGAGCTTCAAGGCGGCCCTTGGACAGAGGATCATTTTTTATCTCCCTGACCTCTTCATGAGAGATCTGGGCACCTTTTCAGCAGCCTGAGGCAAGAGTAAAGGAAGGGATCCGTGGAGAAGAAAGGGCTCCTGCATAGGAAGTCAGTGAAAACTTGAAGTATGACAAGAAATAAGGACTTTCATGAGATAACATCCCCCCCCCCCCCCCCCCTGGTGCTTCAAAAGGCAAAACCACAAACACAAACACTGCAGGACTCTGGAGCCAGTGTAAGTCCGTGAGAGCTACCACGGCAATCGGGTGCCCCTGAGGCTGTCTGTCTGGGCACTTCCTCGTGGACTGGACAGTAACTACTACACCGTACTGTCGTTTACCTGTACAGTCCTCCTCCTCCTCACTCGACTGCGTCTTACAAAGTCTGTGTCAAAGGCAGCTAAAGAAATGTCCCTCAGTGTCAACCCGAAGGCTTCCTCCATGTCCTTTTCACTTAAAACACATCTGTCTGGTCCATGTATCTGGAGTCAGTCCTTAGGTTCCTAAATACTGTAGTGAGGTTAGTATTCACTAAAGCACACCGTCATCAAGAAGCAGATTTTTACTAGCTATGAGCACTTAGGCTCAAGAAGAAAATCTAGTCACAAAGTTTTTTTAACAAATGTTTTTATCTAAAGAAACACTCTGTACAAATCCAAGTGTTACAGCCTCATCTTTCACCCTGTGATTTTCCTTTACTAACATAGCCCATGAGGAATAGTGCCCACCTCAGAAGAATGTTGTGGGAAATGACAGGGATTCCACTGAACCCCAGGTTGGTCTACAATGACTAGAAAGCTCACAAAAGCCCCTCTTGCTGGCATGAGGCACCTGACTCAGCCTGACAAGTTTCTAAGCCAATTACACTCAAATCTTTACCTAGAAAGAAATTTGGTGGTTCCTCAAGAAGTTAAACTAGTTTATACTCACATAATGGGCTATTGGGTACAGAAAACACCATTGTATGAAGTTCACCACCAACCACGACAGACACACAGACAATTGTGTGGTAACATGGACCGACTCCCATGTGTTGTCTTCTGCCCTCCACATGTTCACCATGGCATGTGTGCCCTTCTCACAAGAGAGATACGTAAAATTTTTCAGTGGACAAATAAATAAAAAATCCTTGATCTTATAAAAGATGATACCCACCTCTCTCTTTGCTCAAGATTGATCTAAGCTCCAGAGAAGAGGCTGAGAGCAGGCTCCTGAAGAGCGAGAAACTGAAGACTTGACTGACACTATTTACTTTAGATGAGATGACTGGACCAATTATAAGACATTCAGACTAATAGTCCTGACCCCCAGCAACACCTGACGTATAGTCAAGTATCCATGTACAATATGAAGTAGTCTCAAGAATGATGTCTGTGGTGATATATTGTGTACCCTAATAAAGCTTGTCTGAGGATCAGAGGACAGAGCTAGCCACTAGATTAGACATAGAGGCCAGACAGTGGTGGCACCCATCCTTAATCCTATCACTTGGGAGGCAGAGATCCATCTGGATCTCTGTGAGTTCAAGGCCACACTGGAAATAGAGCCAGGCAGTGGTGGCACACACTTTTAATCCCAGTACTGGGAAGCACACAAGCCTTTAATCCCAGGAAGTGAAGACAGGGCGGAGAAAGGTATATAAGGCATGAGAAAACAGGAACTAAAGAAGTTCAGCTGAGACCCTCAGGGTGAGGACTCAGAGGCTTTCAGTCTGAGTATTTGTGGAAACAGGATCAGCTGAGAAGCTGGCGAGGTGAAGTTGGCTGTGGCTTGCTCTGCTTCTCTGATCTTCCAGCTTTCACCCCAATATCTGGTACCAGGTTTTTTATTAAAAGACTAAGAGTCGAACAACAGATGTCTAATATGAAGGTAATCATTCTCTGGACACTAGGAATTCTCAGATGTCTAGTCACGCTCGTTGACTATTTTAACTGAGCAATCTCACATGTCTGAACACTTAGTCTGTGACTAAGGGCAAGGGAAGAACATTTACACTTGATCGGCGTTGCCCTTCAAGTAGTTCCAGCCTGGATTCTGCTCTGCCCCAACCAAGCCTCTGAGTGCTTTGTGCTGATGCAGGCCACTTTTACTACCAAAAGGAAAAACAGGGTCCATTCATACCGTAATTAAGAGCTTCTGGTGCTGTCCATTTAATGGGAATCTGCTTTAAGCCAGAGGATGAATATATTCCGCCATCTTCTTGCCGAGACATTCCAAAATCACTGATTTTCAGAATATTATTTTCACCTACCAGGCAGTTTCTTGCAGCCAGGTCCCTGGGTTATAACAAGATACAGAGAACACCCATTAAAACCAGCTGAAAGCCGCTTTCACATTTATGACTTCCACACTTTGCATTTTCACATCTGCAGTGTATTTATAATGAGGTTAAGAATGTTTGTGATTTACCAGGCTTCCCATCAATTCTGTCATAGGTAAAAATCACCCAGGAGAACATTTGCATATGGAGCAGGCCACATGCTAGTTTTCTCAGCACCAGCTAGATTTCCATTTAAATAGAAAAACCCAGCTTCTCCCTTAAAAGAGAAAGTCACCGAGGAGAGGCTAAGAGAGTTTGACATTGTTTCTATGTTGACTAGCTCCCCCAGGGCAGCACTGCCCAAGAGCTGCTGGGATAATGGACTGTTATCTGCACTCCACAAAAGTGACTCGGTCACGTGTGCTGCTGGATCCGTGCAGTGGCTAGTGTGGCTAAAGTAGTGGTATGTGGCAGCAGAAAAAGGCTGTCTCCAGAGCTTCCCAAAGAAGGAGAAAAGGCTGAGGGGGTGAGGAAGTGGGCAAACTCTTCTTCTGCACCCAGGACAGACAAAAGTACAGGGTGACTTGGGTCTCTCTTTCCCTCCTTGTTCTGCTCATGCTTCATCATGGCCTGGATTGTAGTTAACAGAGTGGGATGCCTTCCCTAAGTCCAGTGAGGAAGGAGTGCATGCGGATACCAGATCCATAGATAAAGAAAGTCATGAGTGCGGGTATCACCATATGATGGGAGTTATGCTGTACAGATATAAACATATGTAAAGGGACGGACTCACAAGAGGGAATCCAAGGCTAGATAGGCTTGTAGGAAGGCCTCTTAGATAACTGGTATTTAATCAAAGACCTGAAGGAAGGACATGTGTCAGTCATGTGTGGCAGAGCTGGTTTCCTCCTAACATCCCTTTCTTCCACTTTAGTAAAAGAACCCGGAGTTTAGCTGAATGTTTTGCCATATGGTTTAAACATGAAGCAGTTAGGTGTGGCTGTGCTGTAGGCACTGGCCAATGAAACAGCAGCATAAGAATTCGCTAGTGTCCAAGCACTTGTTCTGAAAGCAAGGAGATGGACTGTAGCTCTCTCTCCCTCCCTTCTGCTAGCCTGAACACGGACATGGAGGAAGGCGTGAACAGAGAGGACCTTGCACAAAGAGGAACCATGGCAACCAGGAGCCTGGATACTTAGGAGTTCTGGGGAGTTGATAGGCATGTTCTGTGCTTGGATTTGTTAGATATGAGAATTCTTATGCTATTTAAGTGGTTTTCACTTCTTAACTTGTCTGTGTATGTGGTTATAAGCAGTAAACGCACTGGTAAACTTGGATTTAGATACTTTGAGTGCTCTATCAAATGTCTCAGGCCAAGTCACGAGAGAGATCTAAGAGAGAGCTATAGCTTTCAGATGGCATTTGAAGGTATGGGATTGGAAAATGCACACACCGCCAGTGTAGAGAGATGGAAGGTGGCATTCAAAGATGAGGCACCATGCACACTGGGGTCTAGGGAAGGGGCAAAGAAAGTCGTCTGTGGCGGCACAGAGGGAGCCCTACCTCCGTGTTAAGTGAAGCCAGCATGTCATGGAGGAGCACCAATCCATGAGCTACTGTGGAGAATACAAGGTCAGATTGTGAGCTGGCCACTGCCAGCATGGGCTAGGGCGACTTCAGAGAAGTGGTGGCCACAGTAAAAGCATGACCACAGTGGACAAGGAGAGGGAGAGAGAGAAGCTGAGACCTCTGCTGAGCACATTTTCTGTAAAGAGACAGAAGGGCTTCAGCACTAAGGGATACCCCCACCTGGTCCAAAGCAGAAGCCAGTGTGTGTGTGTGTGTGTGTGTGTGTGTGTGTGTGTGTGTGTGTAGGTTGGGTTATGATGGAAGGAAAAGTGACATCATGGATGTGAGCTCTTTAAAAGCACAGATGACCCCTGCCACCTCTTGCAATCTCAGTTTCGATTCCTGATGTTCAGACACGTATGTGGTACACAGCAGGTACTCAGAAACACTTCATGAATGGATACCATCTGATAGAAATGGTCCAGGCGGAAGGCATCCATTCTGGTTTTTAATTGAAATTATTTTCTCCTGAATAAATAGTTGGTTTCCTTTTTTCAACTGGTTCTTATATATTTGTCTTTTGGAACACAAAAATAAGAATTAATTTTTGGAAGTCTTGAATCATATTTAAAGGTATCTTTTGAAATGCAGTCTCACTAGGCCCTGGCTGGCTTTGAACTCATTTTGATCCTCCTGTCCCAGCATCCCCAGGTCAGTGATCCCAGGCATCTACTATCATGCCAGGTAAGTCTAATTTGTATCTTTAGCAACAGACACAAACATCCCACTGGTGATGCTGTTTCCTAACAGTGTTCAATTAACCTTACAATTATGATCAGAGAAATAATATTTTCCCTTTTTTAGCAGGGAACTTGGCTGGTTGTCCCTACAGCCATTCACAAAGAAACGTGAAGCACTTTGCTTTGCTGATTGGCTGGGACTAGTTTTATTCATTGGGTCAAGACTCACAATGGAGAGCCATGGAGGAGGCCCAAGTTAAAAACTGAATCTGACTCACCGCCCAGCTTTTCAATGTGGCAGCTCACCATGCACTCCCACGGGGGGAATTTACTGCCAAAATAAGTGACAGTGAATGGCTGCTTTATAATTCACTTCATCTGTAGTAGCTACCCATGTTGTCTTGGGAACTCCAGGTCTTACCCGTGGTTGGCCATAATACATCCCGGTTCCACTACCTATTTGTGCAGCCTTGTCAAACTTGGCCACATTTTCCTTATCTAACAAATATGATGCAGCAGGGTTAGGAGGGGCAATGCTTATAAAGTAGCAGCCATATAGGAAACACAGCAGCAACGTCCAATAAGCTACCGTTGTTATTTTCCTTGTTTATGGGTTAGTAGTGTTGCTGTTACAAGAAGCCCTGGAACCACATATGGAGATCATTTTGCCAAGCAGGTCAATATCAGAGTATGTCATGATCACAGAGGAAAAGGGGCAGCCCCTGAAGCAGGGCTGTAAGACAGTCTTGCCGAGATCTAATCAATAATGTCTACACGCTTTCACATGGTTGACATTCTCTTGAATTACTGAAAGAATAAAAACATTGACTCTCTCATCTGGGTGCAGACCTGGTTCATCTGGTTTTGGGGTGACATTGCGGGCACATCATAGCTGCAACACTTTCTGGCTGTACTGTAACATGGCATACAAAGCAGGATCCAGAAAGGGGCTGGCACTTAGATACTAACCAGGTTCAAATCAGGTCATGTGATATCACTGCATTGGATTTCATGACTCCCCTCCTTCCCCTTTACCCTCTGGGGATGAGGAAGACATTTTTCTAGTACCTTTCTAAGTGTCACCAGATACAAATCTGTTGTTAGTAACAGGAGATGGTCTGTTGGCGATTTCTGAAAGGCTGTGGCTATATTTAGTTCAGAGGATCTACTTCTAATGTTTTCTTGTTGTTGTTTTTTAAAGCTTTTTTTTTTTGTTTGTTTTGAAGAGGACAAACAACTGGATCCAGACAGTTTTCAATGAAAACCCACATCTTGTGGCTTTGGTTCTATCACAGCAGTAAACCCATAATGCATCTGCCCGCTGATTATACTAAAGCGTGCAGGTGAGCTAGGCAAACAAACACCAAGATTTCTCCAGGTTGGTGCATATGGATTCCAGAGTGCGATAAAAACTTGGGGAGGCAACACAGGAGTTGCCGCTCCCTTCTGCTGCTCTGCGCTTCTTTGGCAGCTTCCCCCAAAGCAGGCACAGAGTAGGCACCTGAACTAGCAACAGCAATTCCAACAGAAGCTCCGTCCTTCTAACTCGAGAAACCTACAAGATGATACCTACAAGCCAGAGTGTTGGGAAAATGAGTGAAGAACCAGAGGAGAGGCTCACCTGATTCATGTGTGAGCAAGCATGCTTCACATGAACCATGTGTGAGTACACATGCCTCAGTTGAAGCCCTGAGTTATTGTGTTGTGGGACATACCCACACTCACTTCAGCTAAGGCTAATGGACCTGGCTGCCTTAACAGCAATCAAAGGCAGAATTTTAGACTGGACTAAACAACGTTTTGTGGCAATAATTTTGTTCTGTAGCATTCTATATGGCAGAGACTTCGAGTGTACACACTCACAGTATCAAGACTCAATTCAGATTGCTTAATGGTCATTTTTTTTTTTTAAGAGATGGGGTTTCTGTGTAGCCCTGGCTGTTCTGGAACTCACTCTGTAGACCAGGCTGGCCTTGAGCTCAGAGATCTGCCTGCCTCCTGAGTGCTGGGATTAAAGGCATGCACCATCACTGACTGGCCAATAGTCAAAACTTCTAAGTGTGAGCAGGGTTGTAATTCATTTGGTGGCATGTAAAAACTGCAAGCTATGAATGAACCTAAGAAACCTTTAGGTTCATTCAACAGCACCCTACCCAGGGTCAAGTGACTGATTCTATCTTCTAAAGGTCAAGGGGAAATAAATTCAACAAATACCAATCCTGTGACAACCAGAAATTACAACCAGAGAGAAAAACACACTTGCATGGAAAGGCAGGAATTCTTAGCAGAAATTCAGAAATATTTAAAAAACAGAAATATTACAACTTGAACATACAATATCTGAAAACAAACCCAAACCCAAGGCTTGACAGGTCAGGAGTGACTAGTCACAGGATTCAATACACTCCAGATAAACAAACGCAGAGCAGCTGATCTGGAGAAAACAGGAAAATGTGGACAGGGTTTCAGCGAATTGCAAGATAACAACCAAAGCGTATAAGTAGAGAGAGAGGAATGACAAAATAATATCTAACGGTCAAAAACATGTAAGTAGATAAACAATAATGAAGCAGAAAATTTATTTGAAGAAATATGTGTACATATTCAACAATGTTTGTGATATCCTACGAGATGAACTCCATACCTGGCACATTATTAGGCCAAGAACTTGGGGCTAGACAGGTCATAGGATAGCCAAATCCTAACC